TCTTGCTTATCTCTCCGTACTGTACAACTGTAACAACCTTCTGTCGTCTACGACAACTCGGAGATTCTGGCCCGAGGGCAGTTCGGCACTGGCAATTCGGGGTCTCTCCGATTTTGAGTCACGGGTGAGTCTTGGCGGGTTTTTGACTGGATATACCGTGCCTATATCTATATAATCGAGACGCCAACGTACAGGAAGGACTTACTGATCGGCAGAAATTCTCGTTTACGATATTAAGACGTCGTTCGCATTCCACACCCCTCAAAAATGCCGTGCGGGTCCCAAGCGGCCTGCGAAGGCTGCTCCTGCAGCGCCAGCAATGGCACCCCCGCACCCGTCAACATTGAGGACTGCGAGTCCGAGCTGCTGGCGCTGCGCAAGCGCACCATGGAGCTGGAGAAGACGTTAGCGACGATGGCCAAGAGTGGTGGTGCGGCCGGCTCCAAGCGGGGTCGGAGACTGCGCTCCGCGGACTGGTTCCGGTGCGAAGAGGACCCGGGCATGATGGCCCTGTACATCGAGCGCTACCTCAACTACGGGATGACTCGCGAGGAGTTGATGTCCGGCAAGCCCATCATTGGCATTGCGCAGACGGGGTCGGACCTGGCCCCGTGCAACCGGCATCACCTGGAACTCGCGAAGCGGGTTCGGGAGGGGATCAGATCGGCGGGGGGCATTGCGTTTGAGTTTCCCACCCACCCCATCCAGGAGACGAGCCGGCGCCCCACGGCGTGCATTGATCGCAATTTGTCGTATCTGAGCCTCGTCGAGGTCCTGCATGGGTATTTCTTGGATGGGGTGGTGATGCTCACGGGCTGTGATAAGACGACCCCGGCTTGTTTGATGGCGGCTGCTACTGTGGTATGTTCACTTCCACGAGAAAGATGGCATTGTGCTGACGCTGCTGAAGAATATCCCCGCCATCTGTATGAACGTCGGCCCCATGCTCAATGGGTATGTCAAGAACGAGCTGGCGGGTTCGGGCATGGTGGTCTGGAAGGGCAGGGAGAAGTATGCCGCCGGGGAGATCAACACGGAACAATTTGTGGACTATATTTCTCGAGGGTATGTTGTAGAACTCCGTGGTTATGATCTCTTCTCACCGTATGAGCAACAGAACCCCGTCCGCGGGACACTGCAACACAATGGGCACGGCGTCGACGATGAACGCCCTGGCTGAAGCCTTGGGTATGGCGCTACCTGGCTCAGCCGCCATCCCTGCTCCTTATCGCGAGCGGAGCCAATGCGCATACGAGACTGGCGTCCGAATAGTAGAGATGGTCCATTCCGATCGCAAACCGAGCGACATCATGACGCGGGAAGCCTTTGAAAATGTGATAGCGGTGAACACAGCCATTGGGGGTAGCACCAATGCTCCCATCCACATCAACGCCATTGCGAAACACATAGGAGTTGACCTGTCGCTCGATGACTGGGATCGTCTGGGGTTCCATATCCCCCTCCTCCTGAACATGCAGCCTGCGGGGGAGCTGCTGGGCGAAGAATATTACCGTGCAGGCGGACTGCCTGCGATCATGGCCGAACTGCTGGACGCAGGGAAGCTGAACGCAGGAGCCATCACATGCAATGGTCATACAGTAGCGGAGAATGTGCGGGGGAAACACACCTGGGACCGTCGGACGATCCGGGCGTATGACGAACCGATTCTTCAAGATGCCGGGTTTCTCCACCTGCAGGGTACACTGTTCGAGTCGGCCATCATGAAGACCTGTGTGATATCGGAACAATTCAGGAAGAGCTTTCTGGAGAACCCCGCCGACCCCAATGCTTTCGAGGGGGCGGTGGTGGTTTTCGACGGACCCGAAGACTACCATCATCGGCTGGAAGACCCTGCAACCCCCATTACCGACAAGAGTATCTTGGTGATGCGCGGGGCTGGACCGCTCGGTTACCCTGGTGCAGCAGAGGTGGTCAACATGCATCCTCCGGGGAACCTTTTGCGACAAGGAGTCAAATCGCTCCCTTGCATTGGCGATGGCCGACAATCGGGTACCTCCGGATCTCCGTCGATTCTGAACGCGAGCCCCGAGGCAGCTGCAGGGGGGAATCTGGCCATCCTGAAGGATGGCGATCGGCTGCGTGTTGACCTCAACAAACGCCGGGTAGACATTCTCGTTTCCGCAGAGGAACTGCAAAGACGTCGGGACGAACTCGAGGCCAGAGGAGGATACGGGGTCCCGGAAAGTCAGACTCCATGGCAAGAGTTATTCCGCAAAGAGACGGGGCAGCTGAACGAAGGGATGGTTCTTCGCGGAGCAGTCAAGTTTCAACGGTTGGCCCAACGCTATGGGGCGCCGAGACATAACCATTGATGAAATGACGCCACAACTGAAAGTGAAATGATCAATCTCGCAAGATGATGGTGATTCTTGGTCTAGTCCTGCTTGTATGGAATGTGCGCACTGGCTTTTGGTCAAGTGATGTAGGCCTCAGTCTTGGCCAGTAATTCCTCTCTTGGAGTATGGTGCAGAGAATGGGGAAGTGTAGGCAGTTGCATATGCAGCCTTAAAAGAAATGGATAGGGCTGACTGGCTGGTTGTGTAAAGGAAGGGACTGGAACCTCGAATTGAGCACTCAGCTTGATTTCAGCCCCGAAGCGACGCCAGGAAAATAATTATAGTAAGGAGCCTCCTTACTTCCTTCTCTGCATCCAACGTGGGATTCACATTTTCAACCTTCACACAGCCCCTCCTCCTATCCTTCCTCCTTCCTTTCTCATTCAATCCTCGTGTCAGGGTCCGAGGCTGATGACAGCATCGCATGTTCTGATCTGTGCGACCTGCACCTCCGGCGAAAGAGCCTCTTGTCTCTCCCCTCGGTCTCTCATTCGACTCGCCCGCATAATCCACCGACAGACACCCACCACAGCCCACAGCCCACAATCCCACAAAGTAAGTTCTGACACACACCCATCCAATCTCGAGTCAAGGGTGTAGGAATTATGAAATGGTGGGCAAGGAAAAGGCCCGAGCCAACTCCGCAGACCTCGGTTATCGTCGCCTCGTTGTCAAGTCAACTGCAGATGCCTGTTCGTTCAACATCATCATCATCATCACCACCACCACCCATGACCGCGCCCGGACCTGATCAAGATAACCAGAATTTATGTGATTGATGCGACATGATAGCATAGCCGCCGCCCACTCATAATCCCTGGTGTCCAGGTGCCAAGATGGCGCCTCCAATGACCGTTGTCGCGTCTTTCGACACCTTATACGCTTTTCTCCGAGAATGGCCGATCTGATAGGACGGCTTGCATAATACGCCTGCACAGATAGGTCTGATTGCTTGTGATTTCATCCGCCCATCAGTCAACTAGACAGCCAGTTGTCCAGTGCATGGGAGGTATTGCTTCAGAAAAAATTTGTCCGGGCCAAGGGAGCTGAGCTGTAGACTAGGTAGGGGGTGGGGATCGAGACCCTCCGCCAAAGAATGAGGGCCAGAGGGTTTCTCACTCTGGAGCCTGTGATTTCTTGTCGCAAACGCTAAACTGAAGTGTGTTCACTAAGTTTACGGGGCCCTTCGGGTGACATAGAATGATGGCGCTGATGATCAAGGGCTTCTGAAGGTTGGTGAAAGATTGAGTCATCGCCATATGGTCTCACTATCATGTCACTCCTTTGTCTTGGTGGTGGTGATGGTGGTGAGACGATTTACTAATCTCAAGGCTGAGTAACCGGTGTACAGCCTCCCAAACAGATGATCGATGAGAATATGAGATGGGTTGACACCTTCATGAGGCCGATACGAAGTTATCCACCCACTGGGGTCGTTTTTCGCATCTCCACCGCACACGCACACACTACCTCGCCCCCCTTTAGACCACCATTCCGTATCACCACCACACCATTGTGTGGACTACATCCTGACTTGTTCTATCTCACATCGGGACAGTCTCCCCGGGCCTGAGGTATAGATAGAGAATTTTAAACACACACCAGAACCACCAACGAAGTTGCAGCAGAAAACTTTAATAACCCAAACCGGCCCAGCAACAGTTCAGTGGGCCTGGTGGGTCTCGGGAGTCTCCCGCGTCGTTTTTTTTCTCGGTGGGCAAAATCTGCTGTTGCCCTGGAAGTTTCCCTAACTTGACCTAACTTGACGATGGTCTCGCCCCCGTGCCTTTCGAAGAGTTTTCCTTGGGTTTCGATGCTTGGTGTCCAATCTCCACTTGGCAAATTCTTGAATCCAGAGCTCAGTCAACAATAATTGCAGAGTGGGATTTGGGGCTGACCTCAGACCGCCCCCCAGGCATCCACTCATAGTCTTACACCATCACACATCTCGCTCGTCCCCCCCTCCTTGGAAAAAAAAAAAGCCACACTTCTCGGCGCACTCGCCATTAATTCTTTTTGGATTTTATTATTCTTTATATTCATCACTCTTCCCTTCCTGCATAGGAACTTCCTGCATCCTTCCGGCATGCTGATCTTGCTGTTTCCATCCAGTCAGATGCGAGATTGCTAGCATGCGGTACTAAGAAGCACTGGCAAATATCCAGCTGGGCGTCCGCCATACATCAGTCGATCGCTGCATCTCACTGCGCGTCTGCTCTTAGGTCATTTCACGGCCCCTCTCGCTGCTCTTGACCTGTCGATCCCGTCTCATTGCCAATAAAACCCGCCCCCAAACTCGATTCAATCCCGAGTCCGGTCTCTCGCGACTTTCTCTGAAGATAAAAAAGAAAAAAGCAACCCATCTTGTCCTACACACGTCAGGCCTAGATCCCCTACAGGCACCTGTGCATTCATACCTACTATCGCACACCGCATCCTTACAGCCTGTCGACAATCAGCCCAGTCGACGAATCCGACCCCTTTCTTGAGGCACTCAAGATCATTTGCAATCATCATTGATTGCTGTTCACCTTCTACCCCTTGGGTCTTCCTTCAACTTCGGATTCTCTTGTTTCTGTCTCTTTAAATCACTATGCACCTCGCTCAATAACCCGGCGTTGCTCTTCGCAACTTTCTCTCGTCTTCCCACTTGACTTTCTTCGCCAGCAAGCAAGCGCGCTATATTGATTATCTTCCTTACCGCTTCTCATCATTATCCTTGATCACCATATCTACTTTCAGTCGGCCCTTGGTCTCTCATCCGTCACAATGGCGCCCAACCTCTTCATCTGTCTACGCAAGGCATTCTGTCCCGTGTACTGGTTCCAGCGCGGAGAGCGCATCCACGGGTCTATCCACAAGGAGGAACACTGGGAGAGCCCTGTTCCTGGTATCTACAAGTACATCCCTGGTCGGGGATGGCACCTCATCCTCAAGGATGGCAATGAGCACGAGGAGAAGCTGCCGGTGCCCCTTGTCTACTGCCGCATCCTTCACCGATACATTTTCGAACACGAGATGGAGGAACGCTGTCGCTGGCACTCGGTGACCATCCATGAGGGAGCCAAACCCGAACGACTTCTTTTCTTCCTGTTGGATGACGGCTACACCTGGGTTGCCGGCTGGGACGCCAAAGGAAAGTTCATCCCAGGCCCGTATCAGAAGTGGCACTACGACTCGGAGGCGCGCACCATGCGCCGCGAACTGTTCCCCGAGAGCTCCAATGTTTCTCGTGCCAGCATCGTGCCGAACAAGTTGACCTGATCCCCAACCTCGACTGTTTTATCTTGAATGATCGACCATCGCATCTAAGTCGCGTCTGCAGCTGGTCTCTACAGCGCACGCGGTGGCCGTTCACGACCGATTCAGAACGATTCTTGCTGTTTTGAGCTAGCGTTCTAGCGTTTGCTTCACTTTCGCTTTATTGTGTCTTATTGCTTCACGTGTCACGCATACATCGCTCATGACCTTGCTGGGACGGCTCTACTACTTTGTTTTCTGGGTAGAGGCTTTCTTCACATAGCGACGAAGGCGTTTTGGGTCAAGGTTATAGACAACCGGATAGATGTTTGATTTTTTTGTTCGTTCCATCCTGTGCTTGATGATAGGATTTTCGGAATTAGCTTTGTCAAAAGATTCTGCTGCGGGCAGAGTGAATATAGAAGATGGACGTGTTAAAGAAACCTCCCCCCGTACGAGAACTTTGTAGTATACTGTACGGAGTAGTATACTGTAGTCTCCTGTATATCGGTCTAGATATGCATCCGAAGCAAAAGATTTTGGCTGTTGCAAGCCGAGGTGAGGATCTGCATGACAGCTGCATGAGATATGTCATTCAGGATCATCCTTTGAATAGATCGGCGGTCACAAAAAGCATGTGATAAATTGATTGTAGCGTTATCAATGATGCCACAACATCCATTTTTCCATATCTTATATCCGGGATGAATTCCATGCTGCAGTACAGTACATCTCCGTGTCCAATTGAGTTCCCACCTCAACCCATGTGCTGTTCCATCTGTGCTATCAACGGCCGAGAAGTATATGCGGTCCTCTGCACCAGGGAAATAATGCATCCCCCATCCTTGTCGCCTTACGAAATGGCCCACGAGCTCGAAACACATGCCACCCCCCTCCCCCCCCTCAATCCCATCTCCAATAATCTTACTGCTAAATCAGGAGGTAGATAAAGTCAAGCACATCTGTCTAAAGGAACCTACAACCGCGCCTTCTCACCCGCCAGCCGCGGCCCCTGACCGCCATCTTCCTGACTACTACTACTACTACTACCTGCGACAAGCAACCGCTCCAACCCGCGCCGCACCGCCGGATCCATTTCGCCGGCCGTCGGCCGCATCGTCTCCCGCGCCACGAAGACATGCGTATACCCGCCCACCACCTTCACGGCGGCCTCGCCGCGCCGGAACACGCCCACCTCGTAGGTCACGCTCGAGCGCCCGAGCTGGTTGACGCGCAGGCCCAGCTCGAGCGTGTCCGGGAAGCTGACGCTGGCGAAGTAGTCGCAGTGCGAGGCGATGATGAGGCCGATTTGGGGGGTTGTCGGTGAGGTTGCCGGTGAGGTTTGAGAGGTGGTTTGGGATTCGTTGGTTTGGGACCCGGTGGTTTGGGACCCGGGTTGGGGGGTGGATTGGGACCCCGGCTGGAGGTTCAAAGTGCGGTCTTTTTCCGTGGGGTTGTTGGCGCTGAAGGGGTTCATGCCGCAGTGCGTGATTAGGTAGGTGTTGATGATGGAGTCGAAGAGCTTGGTGTAGACGGTGTTGTTGAGGTGGGCGTACATGTCGTTGTCGTGCCTTGGTGGTTTGGTTTGGTTAGTCTGGTGGGAGATGGAGAAGGGATGGGGGAGGAGCGTATGTACCATCTTGTTTGGTGGGTTTGGTGGAAGAGGTAGTCGCTGCGTGTGCGGCGCTTTTTGGTTGCGGTCGTTGTGGTGGTTGTGGGTGGTGGCATTGTTGGTGGGGTTGGTTTAGGGGGAAGGGGGTTATTTGCGTGGTCCGCTTGTTGAGGATTTGATTCTAGCAGATAGGCGGGTATAGGCCAGGCTCTTCGGGGTGATCAAGTAAGGAGATAGTCTGCAATTGGGTTCGGAGTAGGCACTAGGCTAGGTTGATGGCGAGAATGCGGAGGGCGGATGTACTGTAAATAGGTTTATGATTTCTACCGGGATGTGGGGCAGTGTGATGAGATTCAGGGGACCTCGGCTGGTTGTGTCGGTTGCCACCAGTATAGAGATTGATTCTGCTGCTCGACGATTGAGGTGTATGCTCTAGAGGAAGTCTGATCCGATTGAAGATATCCTTATTGTCGCGATAGGAGAAGAGTGATGTGCTGCAACCCAGATAACATCTCGATGTGGAAATACCGAGGTATTGTCTGAGGACTAACCACAAGCGGCTTAGCTTATGTGATAAGTGGCCGCAGACACCTTGTGTATCAGGTGTCCGATGTAGTATATCCCAGCTGAGGTCTGTCCTCCTTCCTCAGATTGTCCACCTACTTGCACTTTCCTCAACTAGTAGACATCAGCATTGAGACCCAAGATGGCTCGTCTGGCTTTTGATTCGTACTTCCATACCATCAACAATCACAAGCTGCATGATATCAAGGCCGAATCTATCTTTCAGACTCATGAATATCCCGATTCAGGCTGGTCTATAGCACAAACGATTATCCAATCCTTGACTACATCCAGTTTCATTCCATAATCTATGATAGCTCTTTCTCCACCACCTCAGAAATGAAGGGTTTCAAGCTGGGAGCCTACATGATAGGCCTTCTCTGTACCATCCTCGCACTCAACTTCGTGGCTGCGCTCGGGTTGGCAAATGTCACAGCAGAACTCGGTCCTCGACTCTCTCCAGGTGCACGAATCATCCTCCCAAATAGTCCAGACTTTGCAAATGCCATCAGGCGATGGTCCCCTTTTGCTGCGCCTCGTTTCACTGTCGTTGTTGATGTTGCTACGGAGCAGGATGTTGCGGAAACAGTATGCCCCCTTCCCACTTATGACATCTGGTCCTGACGATAAACTAGGTCGAATACGCTAATGAGGAGGAAATCCCCTTTCTAGCTGTGTCTGGCGCTCACGGAACAATTACTAGCTTGGCAAATTTCCATTATGGCATCGAAATATGGCTGCATAGACTTAACTGGACCACCATTTCGGAAGACAGTGATACGGTTACCTTCGGTGGCGGCATCTTGGGTGGCCACCTTGTCGACGCGTTGTGGAGAAGCAAGAAATACACTGGTATGTGTCCCACTCTCCCGAGCACAAGCTATGTCGCTGATGGATATACATAGTGACTGGTGTGTGTGAATGTATCGGTTACCTTGGCCCGCTCCTTGGGGGAGGTCACGGTGTGTTGCAGGGAAAGTACGGCCTTGCCTCTGATCAAATCGTTTCACTACGCTTGGTCACTGCGGACGGACAGCTGCTCGATGTTTCAGAGTCTGAGCCAGATCCTGAACTGTTTTGGGCCCTGCAGGGCGCCGGTCATAATTTCGGGATTGTCACTTCGGTCACTGCAAAGATCTACGATGTTCCGGATCAGGGCGTTTGGGCTCGTGAAGGCTTCTACTATGGTCGCAATAGCATCGAGAATGCTTTTGAGGCATGGAACCAGATTCTTCCGCGTCAACCTCCTACTGTGACCATTCTCGGCGTTCTTGAACGGAATATCAGCATGGTTCATACGGATGTAAGATGACTACAAACACTCAAGCATATCATGGTGTGCTAACCAACCCATAGCCACTGCTTAAAATCTCTGTCTTGCAAGAAAATGTCTCGCGTGTTGACTCTGCTTACACCGAAGCCTTTCGTGCTCTGAATCCCATCGCTATCACATCCCAAGTCGGAACCTACAGGGATATACCAGGATGGGAACTTATGGCTTTCAACTCTACCCAGTGCGCCGCAAGAAACATTTCCGCGCCTCATTTTGCGGTCGGGCTCCAAAGATGGAATACTACGGCGCTGCGCATGGTATACGAGGCTTTCTCAGCGGTGACTGCGGGGAACTCGTCGTTCAATGCTTCAGAAGTAATTTTCGAGGGATATCCAGTACAGGCTAAGATGGCCATTCCGGAAGACTCCACAGCCTACCCTTTCAGGGAAGATAATCTATACGCATACCCGCTCATTAGGTACAATGCAAACGCGAGCCTGGACCATACCGCCATCGAGGTCGGCGATGCACTTCGGCGAATTATCTTGGAGGGCAGCGGCCGAGAAGAGCTTCACGTATACGTCAACTTTGCTGCTGGCGATGAGGCACCCGAGCAGATCTATGGCTACGAGGAATGGCGGTTGGATAAGTTGAAGGAGCTGAAGAAGAAGTATGATCCCGAACGGCGGCTCAGCTACTTTGCGCCCATCCCTATCTAAGTGCTCTTTTGAGTGTTGTCTTCTGTTCGACGACCTAACGTGTACCTGTGTTGGGTATCATTATGACTAGATATCAATACTGTATTCATAGTCTACCTAGGGTTAAGTATTATCCAAATCAATGCGTTTAAGTGATGAAAATCCTCTTCTATGCAGATCACTGGCCACCGGCAGTAGGGGGATCCAGAGCCTAACCGTAATTGATTTCAAGCTTCAAGTTGGTGTTTACCAGATCGTCTTGACGGGTGGCTGGTGATTGTGGCACAGGAACCCGCAAGGGAGAGCGGGAGGATATATTGTCGACCCACCGGCCTCTTTGTTGTCGTAGTGGCATCGTCGCACAGCATCTTGAGGTTAATTTGACTCCAGCAAGGAGAGAAGACCTGGGCTGGTCTCTGCACAAAGCCTTTCAGTAAGTATTACATGGCTGGTGTTACCCTGGAGATTGTCGTATAATCAAGGTTAGACAAGAAAGGACAATGGCGTCACTTGCCAGTAGGTGAACCTGGAATTGACCTCCCTGGAATGAATGGCCGAGTTAAATTGGATCACCACCACCGCGTCATAATAATTTAACTACTGATCAACTCCCAGATCGCGAGAGCCTCAACCCGACTCGTCGTAGTGTGGGCTGTCGTGGATGCATTCGATCACCCAGGGGCCTGACCGGAGGAAGGAATGGAGCTGACTGGCCAGACTAACCAACGGAGACTAACCACACTAATTTCCCCCCCTCGATCCACACGTGTTGTTTTAAAAGTGTTGATCGCTGGTCATAAAACAATGGAATGGAGTAAGCAGACCAGACAGAGAGGAGTCCAGGCACAGCATGGAAGAATGACGACAGTCAATGACACTGTGGTATTTTGGAGTGACAACCCCATTCATGCTATTATTCAGGACCTTCACAACCTTCAAGACATTGAGGAGCCTTTGCATACAATAAACACGACTATTGACACCTAAATATCCACCTGCAGTCAACGGTTCCAGTTCTCTCCTCCCCTCCCCACCGCTTCCCGCAAACCCTTCCATACGGAGTGTATGTACTCCGTGCTGCTACTGTTGTTATTCTTAGTTCTCATCGTTTCTTGCTCCTCCGACCTCTCTTTCCTCTCCCCCTACCGACTGAGTTTACCCAACCAAGTCACTCCTTTGCCCCCTCTTGATCGGTCTTTCTCCTGCTTGGCGTTTTCCTCTTCTCGCCGTCTTCTGTTCTCTATTTATACTCGTGTTCTGTGTTCCATCTTCTCCCACCGCTAGGTTTCACGCCGACCCCCCAAGTCCAAACTTCCGCCTCCTGCGACACGGTTCAGCGTCCTTTCATTTCCGCAACTTCGTTTCCACGATCTGTCTCCTGAAGTTGCGGTTCATATCTCGTCCTTATCGGCCACCCTCTCATGCTTTACGAATATGTCGGCTACGACGACCACCGCTCTGGCGTCTACCATGCTGGTCGGTACCCTGCCCACTATGACACACGCCGGAATGATGCCAGGCAAGACTTCTTGCCCGACCTGTGGGTATGACCGATTCTCTTCGGAAAGCCAACCAATTGATCAAGCACAACATCGCGTGAAAGAGTTAGAAGGGCAACTTGAGTTTCTCAACGTCCAGGCGACACAGATGGGTATGGAAACTTGCATCGCAACTACCTGCAATGGGCTTGTCTCCGCTAACCCAGCCTGCGTTCAAATCAATAGCCGAGAGAATGGCCGAATATGAAGAAGAAATCCGTCGCCTCCGCGCTCAATCCACCGCACAGAGTTCGCGAAATGGCTCCTCTATATCGTCCACCTCGTCGAACCAATTCAACCGAATAACAGACCTGTCGATGTCGCCTCCCTCGTCGCAGACCTCTCCGAAGTCACATGGCCAAGATAGCGGGCGCTTATCCACGCTGACCTCCCTGCTGCCCTCCCGCCGACCCGGCGCCCCGAGCGCAATCCAGCCCCAGCCCATAATCTCTCCACCGCCGATCGCCAGCTACGAGGAAACGTTGGAACTACAGAACGCGCTCAACCGGGAACAGAGCCTGCGCAAGGCCGCCGAAACACAATTGTCGCAAGCCAGCACTGAGTTGGAGGAATTGACGGCGCAACTATTCAGCCAGGCGAATGAGATGGTCGCGCAGGAGCGCAAGGCAAGAGCGAGACTCGAGGAGCGGGTGGCGGTACTGGAGCGCCGGGATGTCGAGAAGAGGACCCGTCTTGAGCGCCTAGAAAAAGCGATGGAAAGAGTCGAACGGATCCGAGCTATGGTTGGCTAGCGATTCGAAGGATGCATATGTGGGATTGTGCACTGTCCGGATTATACCCCCTTTCTGTGCCGGTCTTGTTCTGGTCCCCCGTCCATGCTTTCGAATTATTACTCCCAGTCTTATACCCATACCCCTCTTTTGACATTTTTGTTGGCGCTTGGTTACTTGGTCTGCCCTTTCGAGTTTGACATGCGATACGACCTGATGGGTCAATGGGTCACCCTGCTTATGAGTGACGATTCTGCATCGTGTTCTGGTGACAGGCGTTTTGTTTATACACTGGTATCCTTGCATAAAGCGACTGCATTATTTTGTTAATCTATGTACTCTATTGGCTTTCTGGAGGTTATACCTCCTCATAATACTCTTTCTTATGACTCTCAAATGGCATCATCCAGTTGAAGGAACCCCGCGGCGGGATGCCAGGAATTAGTCTGGTTGCAGACCCACTTCAGGGTCTCCCCGTGGCTACCGACTGATCTCCATCCTGCTCTGCTATCGTCATTTCTTCCAAGGTTCATATTTTCAGGTTTTAAGAAGTCTCGCGTCCAAAATGTCTATCGGAGTTGCTATTATTGGTAGTGGTAGGTGATACACATTCTGCTATACTCCTTTCGCATCGACTGACGGAGTACACAAGGCATCTTTGCCCGGGAAGAGCACTTGGTACGAGATCCATAATTCCTTCTTCAGTGAAGCGATTCGAGCTCCCAGCTGATGTCGCAACCTGCAGCCCGTAGCCCGCGCCTCGCCCGATTTCGCGCTCAAGGCAATTTATTCCCGCTCCCTCCAGTCCGCACAGAACCTCGCCTCTGGAGTCGAGGGCGTAGATCTATACTCGGAGGATGCCGGCGCCGGCAGAAGCTACGCGGACCTCCTAGCTCGGGAGGACGTGCAAGCTGTCATCATCGCGTGAGTGCTCGACCTAGAAGCATACGGCACTTACTTGCAAAGTATCGACAAGCTAATCGAACGCCCGCGCAGGTTGCCGATTCTCGCCCAACCCGAGTACATCAAGCAGGCTCTTTCCGCCGGGAAACACGTCCTGTCCGAGAAGCCCATTGCCAAGGACCTGGCCACCGCCCAGGAGTTGTTGCAGTGGTACACGGCCAACATCGACACCAGCAAGACCCTCTGGGCCGTCGCGGAGAACTACCGCTACCTGGCCAAGTTTATCCGGACCGCCGAAGAGGTCCGCAGATTGGGCGGCGTGAAGAACTTCCGCGTGAGCGTGCGCAGTCTGATCAAGACCGACTTCAAGTACTACAGTAAGGATCGCTCGGTTTCTACGTAGGATCAGATTATGGACAGGCTGACGATGTCACTATCCAGAGACGGAGTGGCGGCGGACCCCCGCCCACCAGGGCGGATTCGTCCTGGACGGCGGCATCCACCTCGTCGCGGGCCTGCGACTGATTCTCGGCGAGCAGGAGGCGCTGGCCTCCGTGTCCGCGCAGTCGAGTCTCCTGCAGGAGTATCTGGCGCCCGTGGACACCGTGGACGCCGTGGCGCAGACGAAGTCCGGCGCCTCGGGCGCCATCACCATGTCGTATGGGTCGGCGTTCAACGACTTTGTATTCGAATTCGACTGCGCGCAGGGTGCGGTGACGCTGAATTTCGACCGGGTCACGGTCAACGGGGAGGACTTCGAGGTGCCGTTTGAGGGCCGCGGAGTGAACCACGAGGTGGCTGGGTTCGCGGCATCGATTCGGGATGGTGCGGTGCAGGCGCTGTTGCGGCCGGAACAGGCGCTGGCGGATTTAGAGGTGATGGAGGGGATTTTCACGAGCAATGGGGCGCGGGTTGAGCTACGACTGCAATAGATTATAGTTAAGCAACAGTAGAGATGCATAAGGTCAGGAAAAAGCTTAGTCATGTGCATGACAATAGTTAGGTACTGGTCGGGTCTAACCCGATCCAGCCGGCGGCGGTCAAGGGCACGCGGGGCAAGCCCTAACGCACGGAAGAGGTTAGTCTCGCTTAGCGAAGCCACTAGGGCGAGTCTTGCTCGGGCGGCCAAACCTGAAGCGCGAAATCTCGAGACCGAATTTCGACCCCTACGACAACTCCCAGCGCCAGCCCGCGAGAAGACGACAAGGTATGTGTTGAACGATTGCCCGTGGCCTCACTTCATACTGACTTGGGATTGTTCAAGATGGTCCTCGCAAAGAAGCACGTCCCCATCGTCAAGAAGCGTACGTTTTGCACCTTGTCCTCATATCCTCACCCACCATGAAAGATATATCATCCTGCCGGGAGTCGGAGCCAGTCGAGTTTTTTTTTTTCAGTCGTCTGTCGATCGGTCCTTGGTAGCCAGCCAGCAATTGTGTCGGTAACACGGGAGAACAACAAGCGCGCGAGAATGAGAACGAGGAGGATGACCTGGATACGAACGGTTATGAAACATGAGCGAAAGAGGATCCGATTCTGGATGAAAATGAGCGATTCGGACGACCGACTTTGTTTTCGAGTGCACCGACAAGTTGATACGATAGTTTCGAGCAATATGCAAAACCCGCACACGCAAATCATCACTGGCTTCGAAGGACTGATCACCCGGAAAACTCGAACCTGAGCTACCTCCCCGCGGACGAACCCACCGAACCACATCACTCCCAAAGGGGACATCTTTCGTTGACAATTTCCCGTTCTACAGGCACCAAGCGTTTCTTCCGCCACCAGTCCGACCGCTTCAAGTGCGTGCCGGAGTCATGGCGCAAGCCCAAGGGTATCGACAACCGCGTCCGTAGACGCTTCAAGGGCAACATCCCCATGCCCTCGGTACGTCGCTTTCTCCGGGTCCCTTGGCATTTTTCCGGGCATCGTCAGACTAACAAGGCCCATCAATAGATTGGTTACGGAAGCAACAAGAAGACCAAGCACATGATGCCCTCCGGCCACAAGGCTTTCCTCGTCCACAACCCCAAGGATGTCGAGCTTCTTCTCATGCACAACCGCACCTACGCTGCTGAGTACGTTTCCTGCCTCTCTTCATTGCAGTCTCTACACCCGGCCGCAAGACCAAAGTCTAACGAAACCCCACAGGATCGCCTCCGCCGTCTCTTCCCGCAAGCGTGTCGACATCATTGCCAAGGCCAAGGCTCTCGGCGTCAAGGTCACCAACCCCAAGGGCCGTGTCACCACTGAGGCTTAAATGGATTTTTTTTACTATAAAGCAAAAAAGAAGAGAACCTATTTATGGAATGATAATGTAAAGACTTTCCCAAACCTGCCTACCTTTTGCCCCCTTTCTACCTCTCAACCAACCCATCTACCTCCCGCCTCCGCCTTATGTCCGCAATTAAAAAAAACAAACACTTACACAATGAACGAGGAACAAAAGACCATGAATACCAATACCAATATCATCTCCATGAATATTTCTTCTTTAAAAAATCCAAAAAGGGAAAAAAGCGAGCATTGTCCGGGTATCGCGGGTATCATCTGGGGACTTTTTTTTTCTTTTGACATGAAGTGATGATATATGCGTTCCTGAATGGGGACGGACGGTGGGCTGTGCTTGTCGTTTACCTCTATTCAGGGAACCTGGATGGTGGTTTGTTTTCTTTTCGAAGTATGGGGGGCTTGGCTTGGCTTGGCTTGGCTTGATGCAGAGCGATTTGAAGATGTTAAAGATAGGTCAATGCGATGCGCGTGGCTTGGCTGGTGCTGCTGGTCTGGGAATCTTTGTCTTCTTTTTTGTAAAGATGGGTGAGCTTCTTTTCGGGGCTTGGGTGTACACATGTAGGGTCCGTGTAGTGTTTTGTCTCTGGTGGTATTACCCTTGTGGTGATGGGATGTTGTAGGGCCAGCCATGTAGTCGGGGTTTAGATGTTCTAGGTCTAGGTCTAGGTCTAGGTGTTGATGCTGGAGTGAGTGACTTGACAGTAATGCAAGGAATGCAGTTGCTTGATGTGAGGGAGTAGACGAGAAGAAAATAGGCTGAAATTCTATTGTGATATCATCGCGGTTCTATGTGCCAACACCAAAAAGAATCTATGCGGTGGCTTGCGCTTCAGCTGCCGTCTCCGCGTGGGCAGCGGCGGCAGCAGCGACAGCAGCAGCATTAGCAGCAGCTTCATGCGCCTGCCTCTCCGCCGAGATATCCACCAACCCGACCCCCTGGACCAGCGCCGGGATCCCTCCTCTCCTGTCGGCCTCAGTACCCTCGCCATCGCCGCCGAGCTCCGGCACCGTGCCATACCCGATCACGATCTCCTCGGCCTCGGGGACATCGACCCAGTCCGGCATCGCGCGGGGGCCGGCCACGCCGGCGGGCGGCAGGCCCCAGCTGGGCATCTGGCTGGTGTACTTCCAGCCGTCGGCGCCCTTGTCGGCGTACGCGGCGGCGTGCAGGAAGATGCCCAGCTCCTCGGGGCTGGGGTCCGTGTACAGCTCGGTGTCGCAGACGGGGCAGCGCTCGCCGGACAGCCGCTCGCCCTTGCGCTTGTGGTAGCGCTCGACGGCGGCCTCGTGCTCGCGGGACATGATCTCCTCGACGACCGCGGCGTCGGTGCCGGGCGGCACGAGCGGCGCGGCCGTGAGATGGGTGCGGTAGCTGTTCTCGCTGTCGTTTTTGGAGGATGTAGTGGTAGTGGTGGTACCCTCGGCAACGGTCTCGGTCTTGCCCATGTTCGACAGGCGGGCGATCAGCTCCTGGTCGCGCTCGTCGGAGGTCTCGTTCTTCCCGAGGTCCGGACCGAAGACTTTCCGATTCGAGTAGATCGGGTCGTTGGAGATCGGATGGCCCAGGAACTGCAGGTGCACGCGGATCTGATGCGTGCGGCCCGTGAGGGGGAGGCAGTGCACGATGCTGTAGCCTTCCTCCTCGTTGGCGTAGATCGGCGGCGGCGTCGCGACCCTCCCCTCCCCCTCCCTTTGCCCTCCCGCATCAACCGGTGCAGCTGCTCCCGCGGCCGCAGAAGGGGGAACATACGCCAACCGCCGGAACTTGGTCTTGGCCTCCTTCCCCGTGGCGCGCACGCGATTCAGCCCGACCTTCGGACTGACCGACATGATCGGCTGGTCGCACACGACGACCCCGTCCGGGAACCGTCCCTTCACGCGCGCCACGTACTCCTTTTGTAAGGTCCGCGCCTTGAGCTTCTCGCACATCATCTCCGCCGCCTTGGGGTGCTTCCCCAGGAACATGACGCCGGAGGTCAGCCGGTCGAGGCGGTTGCAGGGCCGCGGCACCCAGTCCGGGTGCCGCTGGGACCGCAGGATCTCCAGCACCGAGTTGTAGTGGTACCGCCCCGCGGAGTGCACGGGCACGCCGGCCGGCTTGTCGATGACGATCAGGTCGTCGTCCTCGTGGATGATCCCGATCGCCTTGCCCGTCACCGGCGGCTCGTGCCGGTGCAGCGTGTGCGAGATGATCTCGCCGTTCTTGACGACCGTGTGCGGCGTACCCGGTTTGCCGTTGACGCAGACGAGGCCGGTTTCGAGGGCTTTTTTCTGTCACCGGGCGAGATTATGTTAGTTGGATGAGAAGAATTGAAAGGGGATTGGAGGGGAAGTGCTTGGGGAAGGAAGAACGGGTCACCGTACGTAGTATTCGGCCGGTCGATCGCGGAACTCCGACAGGAAGATGTCCAGCAACTCCCGCCCGCGCCAGCGTTCCTTGCAGTAGGTGTTGTAGGTGTAGTGATAGGGCTTGACGCGGCGCAGTCCGCCTTCGAAGTAGTATGGAGCCGGCCAGGGGTCGCAGGGGGTCACGGCCACCTCTGGGGGTTCCTGGACCGGGTCCGGAGGCGGCACTTGCAAGGTCGTGTCGACGGGGACAACGGCCATACTGGACGTCGGGATTAGGCCTCGTCGCAGCAGGTGTGCAAAGACGCGGGGTGAGGGAGCCAAGGTCGACGACTGGCGGGAATGACAGAAATGAAGAAGAGAGGAGGGCGAGTAGTGTGTGTGGGGTTTTGCGATGAAAGAGATAGACAAGTAGTCTAAGCTTTACGGCGGCGAAAAATGGCAGAGAAAAAAAAAATTAAAGTCCCGCGGGAAATGTTTTGGTGGTGCGGGGAAAGGCAAGCAAGCAAGCAACTTTATTGATTAAGAATCGGAATTAACATTATTTACTACGGAGTAGCTGTCTGAACCACTACTGCTATCTCAAGCACTACCTGCCCCTGGCGACCAACCCTCCCGCATATACCATTCAACCCACCTAAGAGAGAATTAGTTCGATATAGCCAAGACATTCAACGCAGACGAACTTACATTTCGTGCACGTGCGACGGCAGGACAAGAACATTCTCATCCTCATCCCATTCCAACCCCGAACTCCGGTGAGCCCAGCCACGCTCGTAGCACGTCCGCATTGCCACATCCTTGATATCAAACCGTATGCTTCCCTTGGCTAAGATCTGGCCCAATACATCAACAACTTTAGATGTGAATGTGCTATCGTGGTGGTCAGGAAACGAGCGACCAGCCGCATACTGCATGAGAGACCTGAAGAATTGACCCTTATCCTTCAAGACTTCCAGCGCATGGTCCATTGTGATTGTATGGATCTTTCCTTGTTTGATGAGATCGCGATGCTCCTGAACTCGGGTCAGTTGCATAAGCCAGCATACACCTGAATGAAACGTACCGTGTAAAGAACCTCAACCACAGCTGTCACCACCCCGGGATGCGCACTTGTCAATTTATACAAGTAATCCATAGCCGTGTCATCAACTGCAAACTTGTCATCGAACTTGACCGCTGTCAGATGTGTTACAACTTCACGAAATTCAGACTCGGTGTACAACAAGCCGATATCTGGCGAACAAGGCGAAAACCTGCCAGGCTGAGGTGTCAGTGTAACGTGCATCTCGCCATTCCACCTCGCCGGACAATATTCATCGGTCCATTCCACGGCGGTCACAGGGTCTCCGTAGTGTGCGAAAAGGCAGATCTTGATGCTTGCGGGGCAAAGCCCGAAACTATGGTCCTTGATGACGGTATTCCAGAAGATCGCGTCGTGGTATGAACCTTGGGCCTCGTCGATCAGAATCACTGTCTTTCGAGGAACAGATGCCCATGTTTCATCAAATTCAGGATATAGTCGCCGTAGGCGCCGGCTGAACTGCCTCCAAGGGGATCTGCCCCGGGATTTCATTGGGGCCCATGAAGGGAGCCAATACACGGTGCGATGGTGGTCGAGATAGTAGTTATGTAGCAATTCGCGCAGGGTCGTTTTCCCGGTGGCCGGGGTGCCACGCACGAGAACACGATCGTAGGAATCCACCGCGTCGGCGAGCTTGGACACTGTATCCGGGCGTGGATATATCCATTTATTCGGAGTTGTCTGGTTTCATCATCTGTCAGCAGTGAACTTATAGCCTCCGGGGAAAGAGAATCTGAGTGTTGCATGCTTACAACCCGGGACAAGTTGCGTGTACTCAATTCACCGGCAGATGCTGGAAAGGGGTTGCTTTCCTGTGAAGCGTCGTTGACATCCCCGTGGGGAGTCGAGGGAGTAGGAGCAGGCTGAGAAGCTGAGGGAGAACTCATCCTTTGGAAGTTGAGGCGGGGTGTAGGATGACAACAAGTTGATGGGGTAGCTGACAGTAATGAAAGTAAACTGCACCCAAATAGGATCTCATGCGAGAAACCAAGGACTGGGGATCTGAGAGGTAATTCAAAACCGGGGTTGCTCTGCAAATATGATGACCGGTTTGAGGGAAAGGGATAGTCACAGCTTAGAGGAAGAAGGTGATGAAAAGTTGGGAGTTGAGGAGGAAGGAGCTAATAAGATCATGGATTTATATCATTTACAAGCAACACACAAGTGACAGAATCTAACCTAGCAACTCCACGTAAGTCACTATTTTCTCACTCACTCCTAACACACTCGCAATGTCATCGACAGAGTCCGGAATCTGACGCGGACCAGAACCCCAGAAATCTGATCATCTCCGTAATCATGACACACAGTCTCATCTATATGTATCATCGAGTCCCATCCCTCAGCTTCTTCTTCCGCATAGCCCTCTCATTACCTTTCGATCCGAGAGCGCAATTACCACTGCAATCGCTCCACTCAGCACTCCAAACGTCGACACCATGGTCGCCCACCCAGCCTGATCAACCAGAAGACCCGCCATCAGAGGCCCAAGCACCTGCCCACCGGACCATGCCACATTAAACAGCCCGTATGCTTGCGCAGTGCCTCCCTGGTGGCCGAAAATGCCTGGATATTCCCGCTCATATCGCTCCGTGACTCGCCCCACCTCAACCATCAACGAGACCATCTGTAGGGTTGACGCGGCTCCAGCCAGAAAGAGGAAGACCACTAGCAGAAACTGGTGCTGGACCGTGTTCTCAGTGACGAACTGGAAAAGGAGAAAGGTTGGACAGTCGAGTAAAAAGCCAAGGAACGCGATTTGTAAGGCTCCGAGGCGGTCGACGGCGTCGCCTATGAACTCAAGGTCAGTTGAAGCTGGGCTTTAGAAGTGGATAGACGTACCAATCCAAGGGGACGCGAAGGACGGTGCGAACAAGGGCAGGAAGCACAAGCCGATTCCCATCGGGCCCCAGTCGAATGTCTTCATGACATAGAGTGGCAGGACCTGGAATCACGATCAGTTGCTGCGAGAAGGTGCAAGGGTACTGCAATAATCACGGACCGTATCGAACGAGGAGTACAAGACGGCATCGACAACGGTCGCCATTAGCACAACCATCAATTTCCCAGAGCATATCAGCCGAACAATACCCGGTACAGACGTCTCTTTTCCACTCGAGTCGGGCTCACTGCCATCCTCGACCGGCGGTTCGACGAGCACATCATCAGGTGGACACAGCGAGCTTGAACTATCTTGTTCACTGAGAGCGCCGTATCCGATGCTCTTACCCAGCAAACCACTGGATTCTTCTGTCTTTGACTGAAGCCACCTCGCGGCCGTCTTCTGCTCGATCATGACCAGACGAAGACTGACATCCGCCACGATCAAAGCGATTGCCAGCAGGAACACCGAATGGTACCCAACTCGTGAGAGCCTGCATGGATTCTCGTTAGCGACCATCTTCCTCCAGTCCTGACAGCATGAATGCGCGAACGTACATGATCCCACCAATGAATGGGCCAAACACCGTCCCAACTGTCAAAGCCATAGAGACATATCCCATGGCCGCCCCGACTTGGTCCTTGCCCACCGTGTCCACAACAAGCGCCATGCCGACAGTCCACACCACAGCTGCCGACAAACCTTGCAGAGCCCGCGCGATCACCAGCGACGACAACGACCTCGCGAACCAGAACACCACGGTCGTCCCGCCGAGGGCGAACAGGCCGATCATGAACGGAAGCTGGCGCGATGAGCTCCTATCCGCGAAGTACCCGAAGATGGCTTGTGACTGGTCAGGACCTATTCTCCGAGCATACCAATTGGCGTAGGCATGCAAGCTGTCACTCACGAGAACCAAAGAATATACCGCCCCCAAATGCAGCAAGCATGATCGACATCCATTTCTGTACTGTGAGGTTTTGTGTCAGTGGGGTTGTCAGCTAGTACAGCTATGGCAAAGCAAACGTACGATCATCATCCGGCACAGAGACTCGCGTTTTCAAGACAATCGGTAATATGGGCACGATCTAGCGAATGTTCGCTCCAGTCAGATATAACTCGTCACCAGCGTTCATCACTGGAGAACCGCACCATGCCATAGATGAATACGTCCTGCGTGCAGTGAAACGGCAATTAGCATCATGTTCAGGACACAAGTAAAGCGACAACAGTCATATCTTTCCCCTCACTCACCGTAAAACAAGCAATGGCCACCACCCAAGTCACAAAGGTCTTGGAAGAGCGAAAAGCCAGCTTCCATGGTGGGCAATCGCGGTCTGTCGCTGTCATGTCGATTGTTCCGCCGACGGGGGAGGGCGATAAGTATGATCGTATATAGTGGAAGAAGGGTCAACGACACGAAGAAGTACCCGAGTCGCACCTTATGGCCCAAGGCCGTCTTAAGGAGTTTAAATAGCGCAGCGACATCGGCGAGGGAACAGACGAGGAGGGGTTTCTTCGAAGAAGCAAAGCAAAAGCAAAAGCATAGCAAAAGGGTGGGCTGAGCTGACAAGTCAGTCAGTTAACTATAGGCGGTTGTGGGGAAAGGAAAGGAAATGGGGACTGATTTGCCCTTTTCTCCCTCTGCCTCTAAACTCGACTAGGTAAAATTTCGCAGAGCTGCATCGTCAGCGCATGAGTTGTCGGGATTGATTGGCATATTGGCTGAGATCCGCAGAGTCTATTGTCCCAGCCTACTGGTGTGTGCAGGAGGTAACTTAACTAAAACTGCTAGGTAGTTGATTATCGTCTTTCTTCTTATCTCTATCATCGTGACCGCTCGTTGGTGGCCCCTGCCGAGATAGTGTGTGTACAGTACACTACGGTATCTGATAACTATCTAAGGTAGCCTATGTCCCGTGATAAATGAACTTGACTAGATCATTCTATAATCGCACTATTGCACTAATCTCACGCAAATGACTTATGTCCAACTTCGAAGAGGGCAGAAACATACGTGGACAAATTCGCTGACACGAACGCGATGGGACAGTGGCACATGTTGATAGCTTGGTGGCCAGGTTGGATAACAATTCTGGTCCAGTGCTCAGGAAATCAATCACCAGTATGCATGTCAATTAACGGCTCTCCACTGTCACCATCTCTTTGCCATGCTATCAAACTTGTTTGCTCGTATCGTCAAATTAGGGTCATGGATTCATCGAAGCAAAAGAACAGGACTGACTCCACACGCCGTTCCTGGACCCCGAACACACGGTACAGAAAGGAGAAGCGTAAAATGTTCGTCAGTAACGAAAGAGCGATCGATGTTGCAAGAATGAATTAGGAGAGAGAAGCCATGATTCAGAAACAGTTAACGTATACATTCACTTCCTTCACATCAGCCATCATGATCATTGGTGTATAACAGTTCGTCCACGTACATGGGAATAGCTAGCTCAGAGGAAAACCGAAGAAAAACTGGAAAAAGGGGGAAAAGGAAACTTTTCGACATGCTTGACTGAGAGCAATAACTAGATCCTGATCGTGGGCCTAGCCGGAACAGACAATCGGGAAGGGGGCAAAGAAGGGGAGAATGGTCAAAGGTCAAAGACGTGAAGACAACGGGTCATCAAAACAAATTAGCCACCGACATAACCAAAATCAATCCGGCTATTCGAAGAGAGCACACGGAGAATTGCTGTTGGGTCCAGGCCACGGCAGGGATCCAGTGCCGCGAGCTGGGACGCTCTGGTGGTAGTAGCGCGATATTTTGGTCAAGTGATGAACAGCTCTGGGGTATCGATGAATCTATGCGAACGTACGGCCACCGCGGCGGTTGTTGCGCTGTCTCCCCGAGCCAACCGTGCTCCAGCCCTCCTCGTCGGCTCCAGCCTGGGCCTCAGCGGGGGCGCTCCGCCAGCTGCCGTTGGTCTTGCTGGCAGCCGCATCGGTAGCAGCCTCAGCGCCCTTAGCAGCCGTTTCCTCGCCCTGATCCTGATCAGCCTTCTCGCCACCCTCTTCCTCACCGGCCTGCCGGAGGATATCGAAGTTCTTGCCACCCTGAGGAGTGTCGGTAACGTCTCTGCCGTTGGGGTCAGCCGTGGAGACTGGCTTGTCGGTCTTGCCCTGCTCCTTGGAGGCGCGCTGCTTCTCGCCCTTCTCAGCCTTGGCCTTCTCGTCAGCCTCCTTCTTCTGGCGGATGGCAAGTTGGCGACGCTCCTCAACCTCCTTCTCGCGGGCAGCGGTGTCGATGGGCTTAGCTCCACCGAAGATGCTGGCCTTAGACTCGCCGCCGGCAGCCGGAGACGAAGACTCAGTTACAGTCCGTTTCTGAAGGTTCAACTTGGGGCGGCTAGGAGCGGCGGGAGCGGCGGGAGCGGCAGCAGGCGAAGGGGGGTTGCTAGCCTCCTTGGGCTGGTCGGGGCGCATTCTGGAACGCCACGCGTTGTCGAGGTCGGCAGCGGTGGGCGTGCGTTCTTGACGTTCTTGGAATTCGCGGCGAGGAGGACGAGAGCCATCCTGAGAGCGTCCCTCATGAGAGGGTCCCTCGTGGGAGCGGCCCTCACCCCAGGCAGGGGAGCTGCGTCTGAAACCAGGACCTTCGTTGCTGCGAGGGCGACCTTCTCTCACGGGGGCGGGAGGGGACAGAGGGCCCTTGCGCTCCCAGTTGTTGAAATCGCGGAACTTGCCGTCGCTTTCGAAGTTGCTGCGACGGTTGTTACCACCGCGCTCGCTGCCTGCATCAGACATGTTATCCATGTTGCGTCCAAAGTTGGAGCGTTCGAAGTTGGAGCGTTCAGGGACGCGGCGCTGGGGAGCATCCGGAAGAGGGCCCTTGCGGGTCCAGTCAAATTCCTTGACATCGCGCTCCTTGGCTAAAGCGGTTGTCAGCCAGTTGTAACAGGATCAAAGAGCAGCAACACCTACGAGGCTCAGCAATGCTGACACGGATGGCTCTTCCCTGAAGAGTAGCGCCAGAGAGGTCGAGAGCCTTCTTCAGACCATCGACGGTCTCAAACTCGACGTATCCGAATCCCTTGGGGGCCTTGGTCAACTTGTCCTCCACAACACGGACGTTGGTCACACCGCATTCGGCAAAGAGATCGGAAATATCGGCAGAAGCCGCATCGAAGGACAGGTTACCGACGTGGGCGGTATACGGAGGCTGGGTAGGAAGAGGGAGGGGCTCTCGGACGGCGTAACCACCACGCTCGCGTTCTTTCATCAAATTATGTCAGCCTAGGAAATCCCTCAAACTCGTTTTGTAGCGGAGATGCCATACCACCAAATCCATTACCGAAGCCGGAAGAAGAGGAAAGTCCCATGGGGCGGCGGTCGCCTCCGAAGCTGGTCGAGGAAGGGGCTGGCTGATGATTAGAATGATGCCAAAATGACGAGACTTGAGGGCGCGCTCCAAAAACCACGTACCGGCTATCAATCATCGTACGATTAGCGAAGATCGTTAGGACTATTTCCAGGAATAAGAAACACTTACCAGGCAAAGGCATGTCGTCCATCTCATCGGCCCAAGAGCCGAGGGCTAGTCGTCATCAGTCATGTTCATCCCCGCGGGGGTAATGGGGACATCTCGACGGACTTACACTCATCAGCCAAGAAGTTGCCTAGCGACATCTTCTGGGCTTTCTGCTTTCCGGGCGCTGAACAAATGAAGGATCCATCAGTAAACAGGGACTATCTTTGAGGGGTAGAGAGGTGTGGGATGCGACAGCGCGCAGGGCCACAGAGAGGGGTTGCAAACGAACCCATGATTGCGGTTGTTCAGAATCGGGGAAACGCGCCAAGGGAAGTTCCTGTGCGCGTCTCGGGGGTTGAAGGTGTGAGTTAGATGGGGGTAAAGAAGACTTCCAAAGTAGAAGTCTTGAGAGAATGCGGAGGATGACGTTCAAAGGACGATGAACGATGGGTGGGTTGGGATGCAAGGAAGCTCCGCAGTTGAAGAACAGAGGGGGAAAGTAGGTTTATCCGTGAGGATAATTTTTAGTGATGACACTAAAAAAGTCAGCCTCCAAAAAGTGTTGGTGCGGCTTTTGGGCCTGCTGGCGCTCGACCCAACCAAGTAAAGTCCCAGTCCAGCTTCCCGAGGGCTTTTTTCCCCTTCCAGTCTTTCCCAACCCACCCCTCTTTTTGCGGAGAGACTGTGAGAATCTCTCCACTTGAGTTGGTAGTCTTGACTTTCTTTTTTGTTTTTTATTCTTTCTTTTCTTTGAATCATGTTTTGCCAATTCTTCTTACAGGTTCGAATACTTTAAGTCATCTGCTGTGGGGGTCTTTCATTCTTCACTTCTTACCCTCTTCCTCAAGCCTGATCCCGGCCAAGCGCATCTTCACTGCTCATATTAGCCGGCAGATTTGACATGTAGACAATCCAGTGACTTCTGTCGCAGGGATATGAAACATCACCTGTAATATTCCTGAACCATGCTGCCCTGAATTATTCTTCTTGTTGACACAATTCTTCTCTGCGGACACACCCGCAACACTACTGCATGGAGCCAGACTTCTATTAGACTATTCAGCTTTCACCGACCAAGAGAATTAGGCAAGGCTTCTTTGCATTCTTGCCATTCTTCATAAGTGTGTGTTACAGCTTCTGGCCCCATTATCCCCTCAGCTGGCTGGGCACGAGGAAGCAAGGTTCCATGCCCGCTGTGAAACAAAGAGAAGCAAAATCTCGGGTGACTTGCAGCCACTTGAAGTTGCTGCATACTCTCGCCTGCATCATTACAATTGGACAGAAAAGGGTGAACCATTGCAGGCTTCCTTGTGACCGTCGTGAAAGATCAGCTCGCTTAGGGTATGAGACGGTCAAGTCGGCTCGTATGCTCGAGAAGTAAGCAGCGTCGTTGCTTTCAATCCTTGGCTAGCAGACGTGCCGCGCAGTGGTTAGACTTAACATCGAAGGCTTGCTGGGACATCAGGATGTAAGTTGCTGTACAGTACCCGGCGTAAGTCGGGTACAGGATATGGGCTCTCCCTGTATAATTAGAATCATGAACCGCCTTCCACGTTTCGCCTCATATCTAGGCATGTCATTAGGCATGTCAGTATATTGACAAACCCATATGCCCTCAATTTCGCCAAGTGTACTGAAGACGTTGGATCGCAATTGTCCCAGATATAGCCGTAGACTGTGCCTCTGATGGCCATAGAATATGAACGGTTTGAATTGACTGCTCAGCTTGGTCGGCCAACTGAACTTTCACTCCGTACAGTATATGTATAGGGAATCGTCGAGAACAGACGAGGAATTGAGTGCGCACAGTGCTCAAGGAAAGGCGTCTGACTCAATCAAGTGGGCGAGAGCATTGTAAGTTCGCTGGCAAGAGCAACCAGGGCACTTTACGCAGTACGCGACTCGTATCATCCGACGGAACAGACTAGCTTCAGAAAGGTTCCTGCAACAGTTGCTCAAAGTCAGCCACGGTGTCGATGTAAAGATAGAGACTGCAAGATCAAGCATCTGAGTCCTACAAGCGACGGACTACACGATACAGAATCTTGAAGCATTTTGTGACTTGTGTGAAGAAAGATCCCCAATGCTGCGTTGCAATTAGGCAAAGGTCAAGAAGAGCAAATATGCTTTGAAGCATTGCCTGCCTCCAAACATCTAGATGGTCAGTCAGACTGTTGCCGTGTGCTCTCCCTGTGCTTACCGCACACGCAGTACAAGAAATACCACTGGAGATTGAGTGAAGTCTAAGTGAATTCGTAGGAGCCTTGCTAGCGAGAAGGACACCTATCCAGCCACGCGACCACTTAGACCGTAAGGTCTCGTGCATTCTGACAGGAGTCAGTCAAAAATGACAATTGCGATAGAAGACAAAGAGAGAAGTGGTCAAGCTCTGTTCAGGTTGATAACTGGACCCGCTTGGATTGCGGGCAGATCGAGACCCGCTGAGGTGACATCATCCGCCCGCGATTACTCGTTTCTATAACTCATGTTGCACTCCCAGCCTTGCGATAATAGGAATTCAGACCTATATGCCATTGACCGAGAGTTCTACGGACAGAATCTCTTCAGGAGGAATTGAATGCTGCTGAGTGCCGGTGTGGTCATGAAGGTCCTATTTGAAGCCATCAGATTCGCGATTATGCACATAGCTACATGACAAATCACTCTATGCAGAGCACAAATCACGTGCACCATTATGGTTTTCCCTGGCGATGAGCCGATTACCTGGGGAATCGTCGGCCTTGAGGTGTAACTAACCAACGTACAAAGTAGATCTGGGGGTAATATCTGACTTTGATGTCGACAGCGAGCAGGATGAGTGAACAGAACAAGAGCCAGTCCACGTTTTTCCCGCTTGTCAAGGCAGGAGCTTTGAGCGGTTAGTTCTTCCAAATCCCGGCGAAGCCTCCACGAGTGTACATTTTTCGCATGAATTCCATGATCCATGTTCCTACACAGCATGGCCATAACTGAAATGGCACACTGACATGCCACGATAGGCTCTCTCGGACTGGTGTATGGAGGTGTTGCAGGAGTCATCCGGTCTCCTAATCCGGTGATCCATTCTCTATCTTGCGGTGTTCAATGGGCTGCAACTGGGAGCGGCTTCTGGTGTGAGTGTTTCCCTCTTGGCTCCGTGTTGCCTTGATTCTAGCAGAGATCTGAGCCTTACCCTGCAGTCTTGAGAGAGAACATCTTAAAATATCATTTCGAAAACAATGCCGATTCTAAGCAACGCGCTTATGTCAGCGCTCTATCAGGGGGCATCGCTGGAGGCACTGTTACCCGACTACTAGGTACGTCGATTGAATATTCTTTCCTGCGGTCACTGCTGGGAAAACACTGCCTGCGATACTAATACCTGGCGTCAGGGGGTCGACTAATTCCAGGAGTGGTGTTCTTTTCGGCACTAGGCTATCTGGGCCAAAGCACTTATAATGCGATCGACACATGGCAATTAGAAAAGGCCAACACTCCAGCGAAGCCGATCCTTCAGCGGATCGCCGATTCCAAATGGATTCCGCTCAAGTCCCTCTCCGACGATGATTATAGGGGGATTTTGCGCGAGAAGCTCCTGAGCATTGAGGCTGAGATCGCACTCCTAGATGAAAAGATTGAAGGGCTTGAGAAGCTCAAATCTCAAGGGCCAGATCTTTCTTCGTCCGACCCGGCCACCAGGTGACTCGAAAGTCGAGTCCATCATTTTCTACCACGAACGGCCTTGCTGTCATAGAATGTTACGGGTTAACATTTTCTCCCTGGCCCTTGAAGCGCGTAAGGTCTGGCTTGCTGCAACCCTTGTCCTAGCCACGCCGATGCGGAGCACCGCGAAGATCATGCGGCTATTCCGGCACTGATGATTGTTCTATAGAAGGCTCGCTCCCGAAAGGCGAGCCCTAGTGAACTTACTGCCCACAAAAGCGCAGTAGTTATCACCATGTATAATATGACACCACTTTGTTCCTACTTCTATAACCCCAGAATCAGGATTGCATCACCCAAGCTAGAGCTGTTGAACTGTCGTCGCATGAACTGAGCGTTCTTTCGAGGCCTTGTGCAAATAATTAAGGCCATGAGCCTTGATATAGTGTCAAAGGAAATGAGTTTGCCTCCTATCTAGGTTCATCGGGTCAGGAACCGCAACTCTATACTAGTCAGAACTGCAGCGCTTGATGTGGTGTAAAGCAAATGGTTGTACTGTACCTCCATGCAAGCATAACGCCAGATGACCCGAGTGGCTGTCACAGGGGTCGTAGTCAAAGGGTGTGCGTGTGTGCATGAGACCAATTGACATGCAGGTTCAATTGACAGGCACCTTTAATTTTACGATTTCAATAAATCTGTAAGATGATCTTCAGACGAACCACCCCTAAAAGGCGGGCAAACCCATCCACCTTCAATACTACGTAAGCTATTAACTTACCCAGTACTTCAGGCTTCGTACGAGGGTGTACAACCGTATGGAAACTGCCGAGCCAGCCGGACGGACGACGGACGGTCCGGCCACTGGGCGAAAGTGGATGTGGTGGCTTTCCGCTTCCAGTTCTGCCCGCGTCGGGTTCGACCTTTCCCGCCGCTGACAGCTGGTTGTATTATTCCATCCTCGACTATTCTTCGAGCTTGCTCAACTACGGTTGTTGCATCATCAAGCAACCAACTCTTCCCCTTCGCCTCATATGCTCGGGAAAGAACATACTCAAACAGAAAAGAAGCATGACTGACTTACAACTGGCCCGTCCTTGTCGCATCATCTCTCCGGCTGGTCGGCACGTCTCGTATTAACGGAGACCTGTCCTTCGCCGGTTCCGCAGACAGGGAATACATCCCCCCCCTCTCCTCTCCTTCGAGAACAGGAGGATTGCGGGCTCGATTCAGGGCTGTGCGTCCGTTCGGATTGTTCACCTATCGTGGCTTTCGATAGCCTCCTTTCGCTCATTACTCTTATACAGATCTCGAACGACCTCCAGCATCTCCATGATTTCTTGGCTGACGACTCCCCGTCCTGTGCAACCGGTCAGTCCCGCTGACCGTGAAATACGATGACGCTCTTCAGTCCGACCACGATTTTCGTGGGCTTCCTTTTCCTATACCTCCTATCCTTCCTTATCTTCGCCATTGTCCGAATTGCGACCGGAGTCTCCATTCAGCGAATAGGATACCTCTCTCTCCGTCGAATTACCTATGTTCCGAAAGATGGCGTGCAGATCGAACTCCGTGGCCTCGGGCTGTCCTTACATCCACCGTCATTCGCGCAACCTACATGGCTCAGTCTCAAGCTAACAGAGCTCAAAGTGACGCTGGATCCGTCAGCTTTGGGCAAAGCTCGCACACCAGTGAACAAACCCGATGTGTCGGAGCCGCAGAGTCCTTCGGAGGACGACGATTCGAACAAGGAAAGCACGGAAACGGCTGGGCACAACGCTAAGCAGCGGAGTAAGACGTGGAAGAGCTTGATGCGCATCAAGGAGCAAGTGAAACAATTACATCGGAAAATTCATTGGTTGAAGTTGGTGGATGTCGTGGCCGTCAATACTACCATCAACATTGTCGAAGCTGGTCAGATACAAGTGGGATCGCTGTCCCTGGGAGTCGATACTAGGCGCAAAATGGTCGATCGAGGCACATTGTATCGGTCTGGGAAAACCGATGCTAGCGAACAGAAGCCCGCGGAATGGATCATGAACGTTCAGAATGTGCTCCTAGCCGTTGATGGAGGCGAATCGACCGAAGTGCTGGACAATATTCGCGTGCATATCCATGGTCTTCTCCACAAAGAACTGGATGGTCTCAGGGATGCTTCGATAGCTCTCAAGGTTGGAAGGATGCATATTCCATATGACGACTTGATGACATTCACGCAGCGCGTGAAGAAATCCAAGCAGTCGCCGAAAGAGCCTGTCGATAGCAACAACACCGACGACGAGATGTCGTTTGCTGATTTCGTCGAAGAACTCGATCAACCCGGGAGTAGGGACGACTCAATTGTACAGACCGTCGCGGATTCGAAAGAATTTGCCGGTTCTATACTGCGCGGCATACAGGGAATCCAGGTGGCGCTGAGCTTTTTCCGCTTGTCTCGGGCTTTTCAACCATCGTCTGAAAAGCAAAGTCCAATATTTCTTAATATAGTCTCTCACGAGATAGGCATCGACTTACACCGAATGGATCAGAAGAGCCCTGCCCATCGGATGTATTTCCAGCGCAAGGACGTCGCACATCAGGCTCTTCTCGCCGCTATTTCTCTTTCGGTCAGCTTGGACGATGGCTCAGGTGAAAGCGACAACATACTCTATATACCGATGGCCACAACGACGATAAAGACCACTCTTCCTTCCAAAACCATCAGCTCCTTTGACGACTACAACCCGGAGGAGCGCAACACTAATATTCTGTTTGCCAATTTGGTGGTTACCTCACCTTCCCTCGATCTTGAGCCAAGGCAGGTTTCTAGACTCCTCGGATTGTCTCAGTCCCGCAGGCCATCACCCAGAGGCAAAAAGAGAGACAACAACCGCTTGATATCGCGATTACTTCCCAAAGCAAGCATCAAAGTATCCATTCACGAGCCAGTGGTTAGATTTGTTCTGCCAATTACCAACCCAGACCGAACCCCCAGCGATGACTACAATCTTCTCATATCCTCAATATCTGCTATTTCGCTTGATATTGAGTCTTCGCACTCTTCGGAAGGTGGAGTGCATTATTCATTGTCCTCAATCTATCGGGTGGCTTCGCACAAATTATATTATCAGACACCATCTGGTATCAAACATAATCTCCTCACAACTGAGTCATTGGAGTTCAAGGTCCTATTGAGTGCTTCTCCGGAGGTACGCGTGATGGCATCAGGTAATTTAAATACCGCCTCCGCACACATGGTCAATGATGAAGTGAATCGCGGAATCTACGAAGTCATTGAGCAATTCCGCGCTCATACGAAGCATAAGAGAACGGTATCTATGTCCGTCGAAGAGCGGAAGCCTAGTGTTCTAAGGCGTGTTCCCCCATGGCTCCTCAGGTTCCAGTTCGAGGCCACTGGCCTTAGCTTGGAGATTGCCGGTGTTGATGCCAGTGTCTCATCGTTATCTCGTGGTGTCTCATTCCAGCTGCAATCATGGACCGCAGACTATAAGGCCCAGAAGTCTGAGCCGATTGCTGTCAGCTTCTCAAGGCGGCGTACGCCTAGTCATTCAACGATAGGTGATGAGTCGTCCTTCAAGTTTCCTACCTCACCACCAAGGCAGAAGCTAGGCGTCGCTGCCGATGGCCGTCGACTTGCCATTCATGTCCGTGGCTTTGAGGGATTTGTGATTGAGTCTGAAGATTTTCTGGAGGCCGAACCCTTCTTCTCCCTTCCGCGGTTCGAGGTTGCTTTGAGCACTATGAGCGATCGCCTCGGACCGATTTTCAACATCAATTCTGTCTTCAAAGGGGTTTACCTCCAGTATTCGCTCTACCGATATTACTGCCTTGGGGTTGCTGTTTCTGTGCTCAAGAATGCTTTCATGCGTAGGGCATCCGGGAATCAAGACCAAGAAGCATCTCAAGGTCTGAACGGCTTCTCTTCTCCTCCGTCGTCACGGGCTTCTTCAAGAGGCGAGCTTGTCACCGTCGATGTGAGGGCGACAGTCATTCAAGTCAAGACTTTCCTCCCTGCGGATCCCCCAATGTTGTTGCAAATCTACGGGCTCACAGGAGGGTCTCATCGCCTCTCTACTCCTTTTGTTCGAGCTCATTTGGTACGGTTGCATGCTGAAGCTCCCAAACTCAAAGGGATCTGGGCTAGAATCATAAGCATGAACAATGTCAGGCTTGACCTGCGCAAGATGAAAATAAAGCAGGGTACAAGCATGGTTGAACAGAAATCAATCGATGTTTGGGCAGATTTTATCCGACTTGGGGTTCCGCATCATATGGTTATGCATCGCATCTTTGACAACTTCATCAATACGTCTAAGGCACTCAAACAACTCCATCAACGATTCAAGGGCCATTCGGCTGAATTTGGAGCAGCAAGAGACCCGGAAGACCCGAAGAAGGTGCCTAGGATCTCCTTGCGCAGCAAAGCATTACTCTTTGAAATGGAAGATGATGCTTTCGAGTGGAAGCTTGGGTGCATCTACCGCACTGGTTTACTAGAGCAGCGTCAGCGCCTGGCGAGGGAAGAGGCGTTTGAATTAAAACTGCAGAAGATCAAGGAGACAGATCAGCGACGCACTTCATCCAGACTCCGTACCAGGTCAAGCCACCGGACTCTTCGCAGTGAACGCCAAAGTGAAGAGAGAAGACGAAGTAGGAGTGCCGATGCAAAGCCGCGGAAGAGCTTGAATGATGACAAACGTGGACGAGACAAGAAATTTCGTTATGACACGGAAGGTGCTGCTTGTCTATCGTGCGAATCCAAAATCTCTGCCGAGAACGCGTGGTACCGGCTTCAGGAGCACAACGCCCGATCCTGGAAATCAAAGATTGACTCCGCGCTACGGTTCCAGGGTACGTCGATCAGGGAGGTGAGAAACCTTTTCTCGGGCGCGGACGAACCGCCAGAAGACGTACAAGAGACAGAAACTGTCCTGTCAATCCCAAATCGACCTGCTATCTTGTCCGCTTTGATAAGTGACATCAATCTTGTGATTGACAAGCCGTCTTTCCCCCTGGAAGATTATCCCAAGTTCCTGAATA